TTGGAGGCACGTTGTTTTTAATTTCCAATTGTAAAGTCATCGCCAATAAAAGAACACCCCTTTTTGGGATTTTGTCTCAAGAGATTTGTTCCTTACACAATCGTCTGATCCTTTTTAATTGTTAGCGACTAACCCGCGCGAAACAGTGGTCAAAAGTAAAACTAAAGGGCTAAGGTCTGAGGGTGGAGACAAATTGAATTTATACATGTTCACCTACTGTCATCAATCAAATAGTATTTCATGCACACTATATGTTGTTTTTTAACCATTAAATACACAAAATATTTTTGGAATGCAAGTACTATGAAATTGAATTTTCGTGTAAGTACTAAGAAATTGAAATATCGAAAATTCGTGTACAAAAAATTGAAAGTTAAAGATCAAAATATATAATTCTCTATCAAGGATTACTGTAGGTTCGAAGGTTGTAAGTGGTTAGGTAAGGACCGACTAGGCAGGGGTAGAGCCATGTATAGTTGGGAGAAAACTTGCACATTGGCCATAAAAATTGGAAAACCTGCACTTTGGGAGAAAAATTGGAAAAAAAAAATGTTTGTTTTAATAAAAAATTTGAACCACCACTGAAAAAATTTTCTGGCTCCGCCCCTACGATTATTATCTTCTTATTCATTCATTATTATTATTATTATGTGCCTAGTTGATAATTAGTAAAATGAGTTTTTTTTTAAATGAGTTTTGAAATAATAAATTTTTGAAGAATATGTAGTTAAAAATAAGAAATTTTTTGAATTTGTGTGTAAAATATTTTATTACGAGAATGTATGTTTAAAAATGAATCTGTGAAAAAAAAGAGAGTTTTATGTTAATGGTAGTCAAATGGGGCTATAATTAAAAATGGCAGATTGCGTAATTTATTTCGTTTTCTTTTGTTTTAGCTTTTCCCTTTATTTTAATTTCATATTTTATGTTTTCCTATTTTCGAAAAATTCGCCCTAAAATAAAAATTTCAGCGCCATTTTCAAAAGGGAAAATTGCAGCATCGATCCCTAATATTTTCATTCTTTACAAAATTTATTTTAACCTTCATTTTGTGTCAGTAGATGTTCTTAACATTTTATAAATTTGCACCTGAAATCTATCTTTACGAAATCGTCCAAAATATTGTCAGTTGACTGAGAAAATGAAGGAATCAATATCTAATAAAATCGTACAAAAATACCTTCCAAAAAGATATCAATATCCAATAAAATATTCGCGGTAGAAGATAGTTTAAGGAATTTTCCCTGTCAATTGACTGTTTTGGACGGTTTCCTTTCAGATGAACTTTAGTAGGTTAGCGACATTCCTTGGCACGAAATGAAGTTTGGGGTAAAATATGTAAAAAATGAAAAGGTTAGGGACCACTGCTGCAATTTTCCGTTTTCAAAACTACAAATCCACAAATGAACTTCTGAAACGAAAACGTGAGTCAGGAGATGATGCGAAAGAATTCAAGTCCTCACAGCTTCAATTTGCTGAAGAAAATCAAAGGTGAATGTACAATTTCACATTCAATTTATTTTTCGGCTGTTGCCAAATTCGTCGGTTTATGTAAATTTACTCTGCCAATTCGAACGTAAATATATAGATTTTGTGCAGAACTCACTCGATCAATACTCGAAGATCTGTGTAATGGTTGTTCGCCAACCCTATACATCGATAAATTCAGTACATACTGCTCGGAAAGTTCTGGAAACTGGTTAGATTATGGCAGTATTTATTTAGTTTTTTGGTTAAATTTGGAATTCGCAGTTTTAGTTAATAAAGTTTTTAACGAACTATTAGGTTTCTAAATTTCCTAAAGAAAGCAAGGTTGAGTTTCTCATGGTCTGTTGCGTGCTCAGACGCTAATTAGACGATTTATGTACCTAGAGATGGATTTAGTGGTGCACATAAATTATCTAGAAATCAACAGGAGAGTTGTTAGAAAATCATTTTATAATCGTTAAATTCTGATAAATTAACTAGTATCCCATGCTTCTTCTTCTTCCTTTTTAATTGTATTTTGCGTATGTACAGCCGTTGCAGCTCTGATTTGCCCAAAGGAAAGGAAATTCTTACGCTGAAAAGAGAATGTCATGCACGTAGGTTGGGTGAGTAATGCTTATGACAACAAGTTTGGGTAGTTCGATTGTTGCATTTCTTTGTATTTTTACCAAATTCATCAATATACTGGTTAATGACACACTTAACTATGGTTATTTTCGATTTACAGATGTATTGCTAAGAGTGCTAATGGTAGTTCAGCAACTTCTGCAAGAAAATAGACATGCTTCAAAAAGAGATATATATTACATGAATCCTTTAATTTTTAAAGGTAATTCATTCTCTGGAATTTTTATACTGAGGAAACTTAAATGCGTTGAACTGGATCTGAGTTTTAAATTTCAGTTCATGCTTATGCATAAATGCTTTAGGGTGTTACTAATGTATTGTCCTCTGAAAATATATAAGAAATGATGCACAGTCTAACGATGCATTGAGGTCTTTGTTTAGTATGAATTTCAGACTAATTTTGCTCAGCCCTTATGATTCTCACTCCATAACCACAAGGGATTATAAATACTGAGTTAATGTCAGATGATCTTTATCTGATAATTGAGTTTCTTATTTGTATCTTTTCTCTTTTTGTTTGCCAAAGCAGAGCAGTCTGTTGTTGACCAGGCAATAAATGACATTTGCATCCTTCTGCATTGCAGCCGCCACAACTTAAATGTGGTATAATGTTATAATTAGTTGTTCNACCAGGCAATAAATGACATTTGCATCCTTCTGCATTGCAGCCGCCACAACTTAAATGTGGTATAATGTTATAATTAGTTGTTCTATATCTTTTCCAATTTAGAACTGATCAATTAGGATGTGACTTGCTTAGATGTTGGCACATACTCTGTGTATGTGCATATGCTTGCCGTTGCAGTTGCAGAAAAAATATTTGTACAGTGCATCATCGAAGGAGAAAACTTTGAAACAATTTCATGTTAACCCAGTCAAGACATGGATAACATCGATTAAGCTTGCTAATTTTATAATTCACAAATGGAGAAATATTGTGTAAGCAATGTTTGTGGAAACTACGTGCCACTTATTCCATTAGCTGTTGCTTTTTGGAATGTTAGCATTGCTTTTAGGTCGTCCAAAAATTACTGTTTGATGTATTTTATTCTTTTGATTAGGGGAGCTCCCAGTATGGATGTTTCTTGGCAAACATATTAATTTTCAATTTTTATTAATTAATTGTTACTTGTAATTTTTTATTACTATGTTGCTTATATGTATACCCAACAACACGAATATGTTGTGAATGATGAGATGTATGCTTAGCTACACGTCCTATTGGAAGCAATATCTTGCAGTGTTTTAACCTTGAATTTCCTCTCTTACATCGATTGATAGATGTAAGAGTCATATCTATGTATGACGAGTTTGAAAAAAGTTTTCTGGTTATTCAGATCGAGTCTATGAACTACATTTTTTAAACCTTGCATTATAATATTTTATCTGTGTCATTTTCCTTTTTGCAGGTGTCAGTTGGAAACGGGTGGGTGCCTACTTAACATACACTTATATGAGAACAGATATCAAAATGTATCAATAGAGAATTTTGGCTTCTCAATTGCAAATACAGTACTCTTCTTCTAGCAGCCACTGAACCAAGATTTTCTAGCGATTTTGCTTCCGTGCTCGTTTGTGATTTTTCCTCACTTTCAGGAATAATATTTTTAAGGGAACTGCACCTACTTATGAGTTACCTGGTTGCCTTAACATAAAACCTGGCTTAAGAACGCCAAAATGTAATCTGAATTTGGATTTTGGAATCTACATAGTGAATATCTTTAATTGACAACAGAAGCCTTTTCTCAAGTCACCTCGGAGGGAGAATTGCAAAAAGAATACTTGAAAAGGGCATATATCAATACATGAAACTCTATATGAGTATCAAGTTAGCATCTAATATTCTACGTAGTTATGTGATTCATTTCAGTATATTACGGAACTATTACCATTTTTGTTTTGTTTCACTCAACTAATATCTACTGAAGCTGTTAGTTTTATTACTTCACATTGGGTCATTGTATATTTCTATGTGTCTTTGTTTGCATGTAGCCAGTCATATTTTTTGTTTCTTATCTTATTTCAGATTGGTAATGGGCTGGCTTAGATTTTCAGAATCCGGGAGGAAATTTGATTGCATAAACAGTCTTAACACAGTGAGCATAGGAATGGAACTGATGATGATACTATTGGCCCCTTAAGCATCATAAGCTGAGCTAATTGTGAATTTCTGGTACCTTTGCAGGCACACCCCATTCCTGTCAATGTAGAAAATGTTGAAGGTATCCAACTAACAATTATGCATAATATATTCATAAAATTTTATTGGCAGTTTCGGACTAAAGTTCTCTTTAACCAAATAGATTGGCTATATTTTTACAATTAAATATTATTGTACTTTTACTAGATTATTCGGTTTATCCTGACTTGGTGTAGCGGTAGCAAGTCCATGAATGCGTTGTTTCACTGTTTGCTTAAAGATAAATAATTTCCCTTAGCACGTGCTCTAGATATTATTAGTGTTGCTCAGTACATCTTAGTTGTGGAGAAAGAATCAGGTATGATATTTTTATTTAGCTGGTTCTTGTGGGCTTCAGTCATTTTGAATGAATTCACATTGATTGAAGATTTTATTGGTTGTGATTATGTCTTCCAGTTTTTCAGAGACTGGCAAATGATCAGTTTTGCAGACAAAACCGCTGCATTGTAATCACTGTATGATTAGCATGCCTTTATTTTTATATTTCCTAAAATGAAATAATTTAACAACTATTTACAGGGAAGAGGGTATCCTGATGTTCCAACAAGAAGGTAAACACTATTTGTATGGTTACAGCTAAATAAATCAGTATTTAGTTTGAGCCTTTTATTATTTGTATTTTCCATCCAGATTTTTGCATCTCCTTAGTGAAACACTGCGCTTGACTGCCTATTGCTTGGTTGATTGCGATCCATATGGCATTGATATCTTAAGTACATACCGATTTGGTTCTATGGTAAGACCACTTCATTGTTATTTTCTTGGCATTACTTCACCATATGTTACTGCAAGCTGCTTTCTATATCTATCAGTTGACGCCACTGGTTCAGGAACAATAAGAATCCTGGTAGCACGCCTTAGTAATTATGATATTTGTTATAATTATTATTTTTTTTCTAAAGCAAATGGCATATGATGCCAAATTTCTACGTATCCCGGACATTCACTGGCTTGGAGCTTTTCCATCAGATTGCGAGAAGTATCATCTTCCACGACAGTGTCTCCTACCTCTGACAGCTGAAGGTGAAATGTAACCATCAAAAACATTTTCTTTTTTCACTGCATTAAAAGCTTTCTATTTCCTCTAAAATCCTTAGGTGTCTTGCCAGATAAGCGGAAAGTTGAAGGCATGTTACTTAGGTGTTACTTGGAACATGAAGTCCCACGTTGGAGGTTTGATTTCATGACTTGTGCTTCATTTATTACTATACATTGCAGACTACTGAACTATTCTACAATGTCAAGGGTGGAACTCCAGTTGCTGCTGGATAGAGGACTCAAGTTTGAGATTGAAGCGCTATCGGTGCACTCACTTTCCTTCTTGGCAGACGAATATCTACCCTCCAAGATCCAAAATGGAGCGTACATCTAATCTCTCACTTTATCTTTCAAGCCTTGGAACAAAATCAAGTAAGTTAGCATGTAAATTTCAATACAAACTCAAGCAGCTTAGAAACTTCTCGTGGAAAACAAATATGGAGATGATCATCAACTCTGTTAGGACTTTCAAATTTGGCGGAGAGGTGTTCAAAGTATACTGTTCTAGGCATGTTCTCTATTGATCAATTCAAACTGATATAACAGTACTGAAATTGAATTCTTAATGTAAAAACCAAAAATGACATATGCTCCTCTCTTAGGTGTATAGAATTCAACTTTATTGTTGGATTTTAGCTTTGCCACTTGAGCTTCATTTCTTGAAAACTTATGGGATGAAGGTTAGAATTATGAGCACTTTTAGAATTTGATCTGATTTTCATTATCAAGTCACGGTAACTTTCTAACGAATTTTGGTTGTATATTAAGCTTACAACATTGTAAAAACATCCTGAGCCATGTCCTATTATAATCACTCGCTGAGGTAAGCAAAGATATGATCATCATATTGATGTATAATATTCAGGGCTTGTGAAGACTTGCATGATTGATAAAAGAGTTTGTGGTGAGGGAATTTGGACCTCTGGTTCGTATTGCCCCTCATGTCTTCGTGACTTAAGTATTATATTAAAGCTTCTTTGTTTGTTCTTCGACTTTCATGAATCTTACTGGTAAAAGTTCAAGTGCTTTTATAGAATAATTTATAGGATTTTCATTTATGTTTGACGGTTTTGGTAATTGGAAGCACGCTATTGTTATTACCAAGTTAGACAAGTTCAAGATTCGTGCATTTGGTTTTATTTTTCATGTGTCGATATTTAAAAATCAAGCAATTTGTTTGTTTGTACCACTTAAGGACCCCACCAAAAATTTGAGATTTTTTTAATCCATAATTGATTAAAAAATGATGTTTGAATTATCTATATTATAATGTTACACATCCTTGCAATAATTTGCTCTTAGCCACCAAATTACCAAGCTCTGTTATATATTTGTTTTCATTAAGGATTTCTCTCTGCCCTAAATTTTCCTTTGTCTTCTCTTGTTTACTCTCATATGCTCTTTCTACTTTACTCGTGTTTGTGGAAGAGCCCATTCGATGTAGATTTTCTTAGAAAAGATTTTGTGAAAATTGATTTTTTTTTTTTTTTTTTTTTTTTTTTTTTTAGGAGAATGCATGATTAAAAAAGTAAGAAAAATTATGGGTCCACATACAAAAATATTTCATTGGGAGATGAAAATGAGATTGAGAAAAATGTATCAAACAGGTGTTGAATTATCAACTTTGGAAATTCATTGATGAGATTGTGGTCATATACTCGCATTATAACAAATTATTAACCGTTCTTATTTACATATTATAGAAAAAGTTATCTAACGTTGCTTGCTTCCTTTGTTCTATTATTTTTCAATAATACAAACAATTCATAGAGGTCCTTTCTAGATATTTCCAAAATCTTCATTTATGTGACAAGGTGTTTGGTTCGGTTTTTTCATTGATTGTGAGTTTGACTAAACTTGAAATAAGAGGTCCCCATTCTTGAATCTTGATAG